AAAATTTCTTTGGAAAATAACGAGCATCTCGTCAAATATGAAGAAAGCTCTTGTTCAGCAACCTATCAACCTCTGGAATCTGAAGAGCTGTTGAAGGACAAAACGTACCCATTGCCTACAATCTACGAAGAAGCTGACGTCCCTAGCGAACAAATGGATCCCCTGAGTGCAAACGAGTATGTGAACTCTGTGGTCGATATTGATGGTGAAGTTGGCCTGAATGACTCTCGTGGTCAGGTGAAACATGAACGCTTTGAGGAAAACAAAGAGCATCTCATCAAATTGGGAGAAAGCGCATGTTCCCCAACCAATCAACCCTTGGAATCAGACCAACTGTTGGAGAACGAAACCAGTCCACTGCCAGTGGTCAGTGAAGAGGCTTGCGTCCTTGAAGAACACGAATCAGATCAACTAGAAGATATGGAGATCAAATATATATCTGAGGGGGCTTGGACCTCTAGAATGATTGTCAGTTTCTTTCTTGATGGCAAGGAAAAAAAGAAAATAGTGTCAGGGAGCGGACAATTCGTCACCATTCCTTCTCGTGCAAAAGATATTGAAGTCAAATTTCAAGTGAGGCGACCATTCTGGGGTGACGTCATGAAGTACAATCGCTTTAGAGAGACCTGGTTTCGACCTTATGAGCCGCATGTCTTCAGGTACGACAAACCTACTAACCGTACGTTTACCATTAGCGGCAATCTGTGGTGGGAAGCTGTTATGGGAGTCACCAATGAATACCATGATGAAACAAAGGAACTGTGAGGTTTCTCTAAAACTTTTAGAACATTGAACTATAGATTAGCTTCGAGTAGTGGCCAATTTCCAAAACACCTGTGCACTGTGAGTAAAGTAACATCGAAGTTTGATCCTGATTTGCTCACTAAAAGATGATTCTTATGACAAAAGAAAGTAGGTTTGTTTAGTTTTGTAAACAAATCATATATTTTCAGGGACGGTAAATCCTGGTTTTAGTGAACGGCAGCGTTTCATTTATGCAACAAAGCGTTCTTGGAGATCAAGTCATTCTTCCAGCTTAATGTTCATCAAACAAGGAACCTCTTATATATGTTAATTTAAATCCGCAAATTGCTTTGCATTCAATAGTAAATGACCGCTCCAATGAGTGTTTAAGATCCGCTCCTATTGGTAGAACCGCTGTGAACAAATAGACGCATTGTTTTTGCTGTAACTTTGGATTAATCGTACATCTTTTGTAAGAAAGCGTCGTCTCAGTCGTCAGACAGCGATTATGATCAGATCATTTCGTCGGAGAGAACTGCGATCACTGAACTTATTTGCTTTTGAACTCAGCCTCTAATTGTATCCAATGCTTTAACGGCGGATATGAAGTGTTTTTGAATTTTACTAACATGCACTAATGGAGGCGGGCGAAAGAATCGATGAGAATTTGGAGCACGAGAGCTGTGATAACGAAGACAGCGTTTTCTCGGAATCAGGATTTGAGGATTTAATTTGTAAGTATCCGACATACATTTTTTTTCGTGTGGCTTGAGATCCTCAGCGAATGATTTAATCTTTCGGTGTGAGAAGTTAAGTAGACATCTGTAGCTACGTGACAGTTTCGATTACGATTATAGATTTGCTTATCCCTTATTTCATAGCTCAGCTCAGTGTTTGCAATCACATTTAGAATTTATAGAAGAGTGGGAGACATGTTTAGTTTTGGCATATCATGAATATAAGTTCAGATTTCTATACAGCTCCAAAGTAAAGTAATCTCTCGCTGTAAACTATATTCAATTTTCTGAGAGAGGGTTAGAGACCTTAAGTCAACAATACATACGAAGTAGAGTTTTGAGAAAATCTTTTCTCGATGCTTTTTTGCACAAAACAACTCTAAACATGTATTTTGGCGTTGCCAAATGTTTGTCGTTACGTTTAGTTGCAACTGCTACAGTTATACGTTGGTTTTTTTAGCGGATAAGATAATTAAAAAGACAAATATAAACGATTTTGCGTTGTAATCAGTATGAAAATAAATATGCATGCCTGTGTTTACTTAGAATTTCAACGCTCCAGCTGTTTATGAACAAAACGTGTCTATAGTTACTCCTCTACCATGAACGAAAAGCGTGCGCGCCTGCACATAGCAGGTAAGCACGTGTTTAGTACCATGCACATCAGTCAATCAGTACATCGATAAACCTATGTAAAGGCTAAACTATAAATAAATATGATAGCTGCCCTACAGATTAAGCAGATCACTGCCATCAATTGTTGCGGATCGATCGAGCACGTAATAACAATTTAACTTTTTTTTGTTTTAATTTCCAAGCAAGACTAGCGCTTAACATCTAATTATTGTAAACATGTATATCACTTTCCAACTGAAATGTGAACAGTACAAAATTAAAAAACTGCATGGGCTTATGTGCTTCAGAAAGACGTCGAGTTATAACCGCTTCACGTAAATTGGACTGGGTACCGATTTCTGCCTATAACTGGTTATACGGTTCCAGGGGTAACAGCCATTCGCTCGGCTCTGATGATGAATTCCGCTCAGGTTGTCGAAACGTCAGTCACCGCTACCGACAACAGTCCTTTTCGGGACTACACTCACGATCAAACTACACTTTCACATAATTGGTAATGGTGTTTTTTGATCGGACAAGTAAGCTCAAATTGTTTCCTCTGTCGAGTGCCTTGAGAATCTTTTTCTGGAAGGAGGGAGCACCATGCGAGTCAAATTCACTTCAGGATATTTCATGATATTCCTTTCCCTCCGTTGACTTCCGCTGTAGTGTCCTTCTACTCCATTTATGGTCTGTTGCTATGGAGAAACCGGAAACAGACCTTTGAACTATACTTTCCCTCCCCTACTAAGTTTTATCATATAGGCACGAAGTCGAGGTAGAAATGTGATGAATTTTACAGAGCGTGTACTAAATATCGTCAGCTGAATTTCTCGCTTTTCTCTTCATTTCTCTTCGTTCTTCGATTTAGTTATTTGTTATTCAAATCAAAGCAAACAATTCTGAAAGGTAGTCCAGTATTTTAAGCAGAACCTTTGAAAAAAGGCCTACAGCGACGAGTTTCTTGTCGATATTTGCACATCTTTGTGTTGGGGAGTCTTTCGCCGGTTTCAACGGTAATCGAGCCTTTTGCCGTTGTTTTTGTCTTCGGTGACGGCTCTCTTTCGCTGTCGTCTTTTGCTTTGAAGAACGCTAAAACTGGCGGGCTTGGAAGTAATTAAACGATCTTCATTTATACACCATGGCGATCGCGAATCGACAGGTACAATGGAAGAATGCGAAACGGAAGATCCAAATTGCTTATCATCATGCGACGGCATAGAGAAAGACGACACACAGGAGTGGTGTTCTGACATTTTAGGCGATGATAGTTATGTAGAAGAAACACTGTCCAATTCCGATAATCTGGAGGTTGAAAGTGGAGTAGAAAGTGCCACAGGAGATGTAGCTGAAGCAGATTTTCTTGAACCCGAATTCGCTGGAGACGAACTATATTTGCAACTGGGAGATCTTGATTTGACAACAGAACAGGCGCAGGAAACGTTGAAATATTTTAGTAAGTATTGATTCTTGTGTACGTTTGATTATTTACGATTGAAACACTGTGTGATTTGAATGGAACAAGTAAATAAACATTTGTGGGAAATACTAGAAGAATCGATCAAGAATCGTTATGTTTCTACATTTACACCACAGTTGGCATTATGCAATGTTTGAATCAAATTAGCGAATGATGATAATAAAGACATTTCTGACAAATATTGCGAACGAATCTTTGCTCCTTGTATTGCAGACATTCTTGAATTAATTTTCTAGTGTCTCTTGTTCTTGAAAGTCATTATTTTACTAAATAAAATTCGCGATTTAACTTTAACAATAGGGACACAAGTATACTTGTTAAATTATTCTTATTGAAAAGAAATTTTTGACTCTATTTACTGCTACAGTTATGTAATCACCTGTGAAATATTGATTATTTTCTGACGAGAGACATATATAGATCATTATTTATATGTTCTCTTCTGTTTTCCTTTCTCTGAAACATTTCATAGACTTTTCACAGTTTGTAATCGGCAATGTTATATGAACTTTGTTTTCTTTAGTTGTCGTGTTGTGTTACTTCTGATGTTTTCCATTGTCACGAGACTTATTATGATGGAAGCCAATTCCTGTTTCTCTATTATCATTATTTTTGGTAAAGTTTCCGCACAGCCCCATACTATTTTAAAACAAATCTGTTTTCCTAATGGAAATGTATTGTTTTTGTCATTGTTTTCTCTGTTCAAGAACTGAATGTATAATGTTTACGTTTTAAAGACAATCTCGTATGCAACGTTAATGATAAGGTCCTTCCCTTCGAAGAACATAAACATTGAATTATGAAAAGTATTAATGTTTTGGATGACAAACTTAACCTCTCTGACTTTACACTGGCATATGAAGCTTAAGAAAAATCATTTTCAAGCCAGTTATCATTGTTTTATATTCTTGTCTGTACTCTGATGCAGTTCAGCAGTTTTACATCCTTGCCATTTTAAGCTTCAAAATGTAGCACTGTGTCTGTACTTAAAGCATGTGTACACAGTACACGAGTGAATTTGGGTTTAGGAGTCAAAATAACTAATTTGCAAGTCAAAGAATTTGGTTGCTGAGTTTATTACCAAAGTGATATCCCTGCTTATAAGTCTTATAAGTCTTCACAACATGTTGCAAAGATGCTTAAAACTGGGGCATTTTTAAAATACTTTCTCTCACTTTTCTGTTACATGAAAAGCATTCATTTTTATAATTGCTTGTTATATTTACATATTGATGAAGTTGTTAATCCCTTTTTTGATCTCATGTGGAATTTACATTGTAACATGTCCAATTGTGTATAGCTAGAGATAGTTGAAATGAGACATGTTTTGATCTTCTGAAACCATTTATGGCCAAACAAGCCACTAATACCAGTGTTTTTGGCGAAAATAATTTCTTGAATACTTGTGGTTTACCAATTAAATACGGTAACCAAGTGTGATTTAAAAAAATTAATAACCTGAATTCCTATTCAAAAGATACCTTCTTCTCAGGAATACCACTCATTGCAGTTGCAGGCTTGCAGAAAAAAAATATCACTATATGTAATGTTAAAAGACAGACTTAAATCTATTTTTGAACTAAAGAGACATGGCCTTGAATTATTAAAAGCTTATAGTTGTTATTAAACTTTACAAGCTTCACATGCAATCCATTTTTAAACTGTGTTTATCTTCAATGATGAAAAGTATTGCAATACCTGTAGTTAGATCAAAAGCTGTTTAGAATTTTATGCACATGTCCACTAATGTTTAAATTTTGGTTATTATAACTCTGTAGACAAGGAGGGATGTCTGTTTCTTAATCAAAAGTAATGGTATTGGTAGACAACATTTGTCATTATGCTGATTGTCCAGTGACGTAGTAATATCTTCAAGTTCAATTAAGCTGAGGAATTTTTTTGATTCTTCAAAAGTCTTTGAGGAGATCTGATCACCTCAGTTTGTTTATTTCCCTAGATATTGTACTTGTGCTGAGGCTTAACACGATGAATTTCATTTTATTTTATGCTAGATTATTGGTACAAGTTGAATTTTAATTCAATGAAGTAGGGCTCTTGCCAATAGCAGAGTGAGTCATGTTGAATAATTAATGACTTTCAAGCAGATAAGTTATTAAAAAGTAGGGTGCACTGTATTTTAAAGCGCTGATATCAGAACTTTACTTTTCAAAGAAATCTGTTGTATTTTTAATGGAATCTTTGGTCCCTGAAGTGAGGAAAGCTTCAGTTTTTAAGCTTGATGCAATAGTTATTGATACAGTGCGCTGCTGAAATTTAGGTAAAAGGTTGCAAATTTACATTGCTGACAATGTTTTGCAATGGAGCAATTTAAAGGTACTGTGTTAAATGTTTTGCATATCTTCTTGATTTTCCAGACACTTCAATTATGAGATTACACTAAAGTGATGTCTCCTCATTGTCTTAGAAGACAATTTTGTGGAATTAAGTTGTGGAAATGATGATGTTCTCTGTGTGATATAGCATATGAATTGCATGAAATTAACTTTTGCAATAAACCATTAAACATTAAAGTGAAATATCTGCAATATTGCCCATCAGTATTAGTTGTAGAGATTCCATATTGAGAAGGCTTCAGCTTTTAGGTTATATTAATAAAAATTAGTTAGAAAGAGCGTGTGGACAGTTCAGGCAAGAGTCATTTTAAATATTCAAAAACAGCTGTTGATACACTATACATGTCTTATGAATTTAACGTGAAAATTTAAACTGCCACAATAATTTTAAAAAGTATTGCTGTAAATTTGATGTTGGCTGCAAATTGTAAATTTAGAACATCTAAAAGTGTTAAATCAGCTTCAACTCTTAAAGTACACGATGTAACTTGATGCACGCCACATTATTAGGGTAAATAATTGCTCTGGCTATAAACAACGGTAAATTGTATTTGAAACTTGAGTATAACATTTTTTTTAAGTAGCTTCTAGATATTGGGGAAAATGTTGAAGAGAAATAATTTGGGATCTTTTAGAATACTCGTAGCTAATAATTGCATTCTAATGAACATGTTTATTACGAAATTAATCAGTACTGCAACTGTGCAAGTTGGTTATATGGGTGATATTTTATGCAGACACTGTAAGTCTGTATGTACCATTTACTAGTGGGGTTTTGTTACTGGTTCAAAACAGAGAAATTCAGGCAGTTCATACAGCTTCAGAGCTAGGAGAATTCTTTGGTTACAATCCAGAATTTTCCTGCTAAATGTCAATGGTCTAAGCAAGTTTTTATTCAGAGTTTGATAACATTTTTTTACACCAATTTCTCCTGGTTTCATTTCTCAATGGAAACTCTGAGAATTTTGAAAACACTCAATCCAAATTCTGAAAAGTAATTCTTCTTTATCTGTATTAGCTTTGGCATCAGATCGAACCAACCAGATGAGTAAGACGTACAATGATTTGGATGCCATTTTGCAGCTTCTACAGGAGGTATGTAGCAAAGCTATGTAATGGTAATAGCACTGAATTGGACATCACCAAGTCTTCTTACCAAGTAATCATAATCATTCCAATTTTCGAGGTAGAGACATTGTTTAAAGTAAAAATTTCCTCCATTTTCAAAATTCCCAAGTTTTTAAGGGTAATGGTTGCTGCTATGTTCTGTGATTGGTGAATTTAGCTGATTGGACTAAGTATGATTGGATGTTGTAACTGTCAGATTACTGGTGTCTGATTATAGCCAACTGCCCGATTACACATTCTGATTAAAACTTTACAGAATAATTATTGAAAAAAAACAAGCAGCCAATGCACCAATCGCATTTGAGCATATTTATTGTTGAACCACGATTTGTTGAAAAGTTTGCAAATGCCTTTCCTATTCTATTTACTCTCACAAAGCTTCTGGCTTTGCTATTCGGAGCAGATGCAGGACACTCTTTCCTTTGCACTGGAACACAAATCCAAAGATCAGGGGTCCAATTCATAGCAGGGTTCCCAGATTTAATCCTTGTGCAACACTGGTGACAGTACAATGAACATCTTTCTTTAAGATTAATATCTATGCCTTGATTAGTGGTCTAATAATCAAACAATGTTTACAGTGCCTCTCTCATCATTAATGTATGGGAAGGAGAGAATTAAATGTTACATGCAAGCAAGGTGTTTTCAAAATTGGCCATGCTACACTTCACTATACTGTGCAAGCAAGGACATCCTTCCTTTTCCCCTTCTTTGGGAGGGAGGTAGATGGAAGCTCTGCTTCCAGAGTAAATTTTTTCCTTTGTTAATATGGATCTGTTAATCTTTATTGACAGAAAGAGAAGGACTTGGAGCTTGCAGCCAGAATTGGCCAGGTACAATAATTGTTGTATTTAAGAACAGTTGATCCATCAGATTATCAGTGATGAAGTCTGTATTATAACTTCCCTGAACCAGGAAAACCAGCGGTTGGTGAGATTATTTTTGTGGTAAAAAAAAGTAGGAAAAAGAGCTCAGCCTTGGCACCAAGAAACTACCCAAGAAAGCAGAAATTTTTAACGGCTGAAAAGTTTTAGCCACATCCCAAATTATATTGCAGTACTTATCATCAATAATCATCATGTATCAAAACTTTATAGCATAAGGACAATTATAGGCTTTCACTTGTTTCTGGCAATAATTACAGTTACATATTTATTTAATTAATAAATGATTTGCCTTTAATTTTTTTGTAGTCCTTATTGGAGAGGAACAAGCAACTATTGGCCAAAACACAGGCATTTGAAAATTTGGTGTCAGAATGCGACGAAAAGGTCTGACACAGCTCTTCAACTGGCTCATTTAATGTTGTACTTCTATCACCATCATAAGAAAGACTTCTTTTCAGGACTACCCATACCTGGGCATTCTCAATTGCTCTCACGAAGGGCTAATGCACGAAATGTCAGCTTTTAGACTCTTTACGGAAGCCGTAATTTTCAAGGCAGTTGATAATGCTTAATTACCCTGTTATACTCTCCCACTGACCTAACACCGCAGTTTCTTTAGAAACTTACCTCGTTTATTCATTAATCTCTGTTACTATTTGATTATACTGTCACTTTAATCCTAGGAAATACACCCATGTCATTTAATTTGTTTTGTTTTGTTTTGTTTTTTTCACGTACAGGAGACACAACTTCAACATGAAGTATCCATGAAAACTGAACTTCTCCAGAAATTCATTAAAGATCAGGAAATGGACGAGTTCTACCAGTTATCTCATCGCTCTGATGAAGACAGTCGCAGGTGGGTCTTCAGAGTAGGTTATCTTGATAGTGTACCAAAATCTCCTCACTAGTTTGCAAGGAATTGTATTGGGGCTTGTTGGGAGAACTGCCAATCAGATCTTGTGAGTTATTTGGGTTAAAAGGTATACTCCTTCATTTTTCGAACAGCACTGACAGCTCTTGCAGAGATGACTCCATCAATTCACTTCAACAGAAATGCCAGGCTCTGGAGCAACAAAACACTCATCTCATCTTAGAGGTACAACATTTACTCTCTCAAAATGATTTTCTTAGTTATTGGTTGACCAACTTTGTCCATCATAAAACTGGAAAACAATCAATGCTTTCTTTTTCTTTTAGATTACTGCAGGGTTTTTAGTCTTGTATGAATTGAAATTAGCCCTTTATTTTATCTTATATTACCCCGTGTAGAACAAACCCCTTTGTGTTACAAAGACCTTCTCTCTCCTTAATATAAACACATGGAAATGATGCAAAATTTAGCCATCACTTTTAATGGATTTTTTATTAAACTAGCCCTTTGCTTTTTGGGGGGAGAGGCGTTCATTATGAACAGACACAGAATTAGACAGACAGAAAGACAGATTGGCAGTCAGACAGATAAATGAAGGGGTAAGTTTCTATAGAAACTGTGGTGCTGTGTCAGTGAGAGAGTATGACAGGTGATTTGGTATTATCAACTGAGTTGATAGTGTAAATTGGCCATCATGTAGAGTTGTGAAGCTGACATTTCGAACGTCAGCCCTAGTCATCCACTCTGACAAAGAGCTAACTCTGACAAAGGGCTGGAGAAGGCTAATGCTCAAAGCATTAGCTCTACTACTCTTTAGGATGGCAATTTATGTTATCAACTCAGATGATAACACCAAATTTCCCAGAAAGACAGATAGACAGTCAGACAGACTGACGGCAAGACAGAAAGATAGCCAGACAGACAGACAGAAAGAGTACATGTAACTGTAACTAAAGGAGAATCCCTCTTCTGACAGGGGGAACTTCACTAGGAAAAAGATTGACAACCTTAACATGAACTAATCTTTAGTTACTTATTCTGGTGTGTAAGTTAATTTTGTTTTGTAATGACATGGTAATTACATTGTAGGCTTTACAGCTAAAGGAAGAAACAGCAACTGTGGAAATGAAGGAACAACAACTGGTTCTGGACTGTGTCAAACAATTAGGTGTGTTGATTAGTATTCAAATAAAGTATTACTAGTATCCTGCTGCAATGGGCAGAAAGTGAGGAATTTCCAGAAGTTTACAATTGACTAGAAGTTTTTAATGGTGGTTTTGTTCTTTGACTCAGTGGAAGCTAAGGATCAGATTTCTGATTTGACGGACGAGATCTCGCAGAAGGCAGAGGATAACATCAGACAGCAGGTTCATAAAAATTTTTCATCATAATGGTGGCAGATTCAGTTCATTTCCCCATAAAGATGTTTGTAGCATTTTAATAAGTAATCTTCCATCTTGTCATTTTTATTCTTAGGAGGAGATCACTCATCTTATTACAACTGTTGTGGATCTTCAAAAACGGCACAAACAGGTCAGTGATGAGTGCTTGTGACAATTCAGTATTATACCCTTAAATCTCTAAGAGTGATCAGCATCTAATTTCTCCCTACAATATCACCCCTATATCAAAAATTGAAGTCAAGAGAATGAAAAAAAATGATCACCAACTAATAGTTGCACATTCCCCTGGTCAGCACCTCAGGGCATGTATAGAGAACTGTATGCAGAGTATACATACTGTTTTTATGGTGTAAAGGGTTACATGACAATCCTTTAAATTTTTT